ATTGTGTATATAGTGTGCTGCGTTACAGAGTTACCATGGTCTTTATCATTGCTATGAAAAGGGTTTACTATGTTCAGGAAAGGACAACAATTTTAACAATTACTACATTCAGTCAAGTTTGATCTTATGAAGCAACATTACAAGAAATATAACCATAAAACTAGAGTTGGGAGGCTATACATGTGTGAGGCAGATCAGTTTGTACCTTGTTATTGCTCCACCTAACTAAATTTACGTTCAGGAAAGGACAAACTATTTAACAATGCTTAGCATACCGCACCGTGCATTTCCTGAATGACAATAAAGTTAGTCTGAAGTAATGTCCATTCAAATGATTATAATTACTGCTGGTGAAAACATAACTTTGTATTGAGACACTGATACCCGTATACATGTACATGCCCCACAAAGAAATGCCTAGATAATTAAACTGTACTATCCAGTGTAAAAAAAATTCAGTCAGCATGTGTGCTTTTTACAAAATGGGATCTAAGGAATAGGCACATCAAGCCCAAAACAGTTTTAAGAATTTGTACACACGTACAGTACATGTATGCACGGAGGAAGGTTCATGTGTATCTGTACTTGTTCCTTGTTAAATGTTTCAAACATGTTCAGGAAAGGACACACATTTTAACAAGGATCAACATACAAGTTGTGCATGATCATTTTGTTTCCATTTTTCATAGCAATTAAACTAATGAAATGGCTGCACACAGAAAGAATTGTTAAAACAGTGCGGTACAATGTATAACAGATGTTGTTAAACTTGTTAACAAAAAGTGTCCTTTCCTGAACACTTAAATACACAGAAACTAGACTAAAACAGTAAATTTTGATTACATTTACTCAAACTAATGTGCGTATTTTGTGGAAGGGATGGTTTGAAACTGTAAATTAGCCAATTCCTGACAAATATTGGATTTAAGTGTGATTTGTAAAGATAAATGTATATGCACATGTTTACTCATTGTGTGTGTAATCATGAGTGAGTAAATGACCTGTAAGAACAAAACGTTAACACTTTCTTGCCATTTAGTTGGTTTTAATTTTAGAACATAAACTTTACAGACAATATAAGCATAAACTTCATCAAATTTCTGCAACAATGGTTTTGCCAAGTACTCTGTTAAACTACATGTTCAGGAAAGGACAATGCAGTTTAACGACAATGTCATGACAACAAGCAAGGTTCGAGTCTGATTCTTTATGTAGTCTGCTAAATCTAGTAAGTACACCCCTAGGTACATGTTTATGTCAAAAAAGTTTTATCTCTGACTTCCTGTAAAAAAAGGGGGGCCATGTTCAGGAAAGGACATTTTTAACAAACATTTGCATGGCATATGCGACTGCTGCTGTATCAAATTTACTTGTGATTATCAAATTCCCATCTTTTTATACTTGATTACTGGAGTGTGTAGCATCATTTTGACAGGCAATAAGTTGTGTATTCTTTCTTTTAAATCTGGAAAAAAATACCATGTTCAGGAAAGGACATTTTCAAAAAACATTTAACAAACACATCAATGTCTCACTCAAAACGGCATTACAAAAGAACGAGTTGGCCAATCCTAATGAAATTTGGTGTACATATTTTTGGGACATACTTCAATGTCCTTGCAAGTCTGGATGGTTCCCATGGCATTTATTTTTAATTCTCATCAGTTGCAGTTTCTAGAAAATGTGAATGAGACTCCAAATCTTGTGCTTTAGCACCCATGTGAGCTTATAATTTGAAAACCGTAATGCGTAGAGCTGCGAATTTTTTTCTGGAGACTGCTACAACATGACGGTCCTTGTGAGACAAAAACCAGCAAATTCCAACAAAGTCTTCCTATGAAATAAAGCATCGATTTCCTACTTTTCATTTTGCAACCTTTCCCGTGAAACTGCCCTTGTGTATCACGGAAAATGTCATAATTGTTGCATGTCAAAACAATGTGCAGTATGTATGGTGGCAAACGTACATGTACATGATATCATTGTACATGTACAATATTTGCGTCAAATGTTGAGGTATTTCTATTTTTAGGCCAAGACAAAAATTAACCAGTTTCCCGTCCCGCCCGCTTCCTCTTTCCTGCCCGCCTCCTTTTTTTAATTTTTATATTGTCAACATACATGTAGTCCTTTTTTTTTGGTTTCCAGCAAATTATACCTATGTTGAAAGGGTTACGGCTCCTTTGGACACAATTTGTATCAAAATGGAAGAATCCATCGGCCATCTTGGGGGGGGGGGGGGACGTCTGCCGCCGCCTTTAAAAAAAAAAGAAAATGCCTGGATGAGAAATTAATTTCTTTTACTCGGCCTTATGTACATGATTAGGTACGTACCGGTATACACAGAAATTATTTGCACAAAATGAACTTCATAATGTACATGTTGCAGTATGTCAAATTCTTTCACTAAGAATGCATTTACAGTGTAGAATTTGACCGAGCACTTCCATTTTTGTTTTAACAGATTTAATTAATAGTATGAGAGTATCCTATACGATAGATGTCAGATTCTAATTTTTACCCGCTGTACTTTGAATATGTACAGTTTTGGGCATTAGATGAGCACAGTCATGTCACGTATGTTTCAGCCGCTCATTTAGTTTGCGCGCATGCGCACTCAAAATATGAAATACTGATAATCAGCAAACATGGATGCCTGCAGACGCAGTTTGACCCACTGAAGTATCACGCTCGAAATTTTTCTTTCCACGTGGACAGGAATTTAAGGCAATCAAAGTCACTTTTGCAAACCTTAGCGCAAAAAAACAGAGACTATTTGATGCATTTTTATTTGTTTTTCCGTGTCGTGTAGTACAAAAGTATTGGGTCACAAATTTAAAACAGGCGACAGTTTAGGGGATAATTTTTCAGTTTTGCCGAGTAATTGTAAACTTGTCTTCACTGAAAAATGGTAAAGGATGCCACGGAAAGTGCGATGTATAAATATCATTTAAGTCGGAAACCGTTTCAATGAGAAAAGTAAGGTCTCACGTTATACGTTTTTTCGTTGAATGTAACGTTATTGTGCACGTACCTGTACACAGCCCCTGGAATGTCCAAATGTGTAAACCAAACTCAAAAGCGAACGATGTTTTTCCTTTTCATTTTGTAGGTTTTTTGTCCATAATTATTGGTTTTTTTTATATTTGAAAAGGTTTTTAGCGCCGTTACCACACTGTAGAGACAATTTATATCTTTGTTCACTTGGTCTACTGATAATTTTTGGTTTGAATCATCTTTTAAGTACGTTTGAGAAGGATACATTTTAAGACATGAAAACCAGACAATCGTTCAGTGCGTCGTCTGCTACCGCTGATTGCAAGCTGACGACGCGGAGGAAACCATTGCGCATGCGTGGGAAGACGAACTAAATGCACACACAGTCTATGGGGCTGAAACATACGTGATGTACATGTAGATGTGCATGTAATCTGAGAGTACCAGGCATCCTAAGGTCAAAGATTAAACATATCCATACCATATCTTTCAAAATCAATCATACTACAGCTCTTTAGCCTTGAGTTTTACCATGTCTACATGTGTACGAGTACATGTACCTAGACAGGACATAATTATGTGAGGAATGATTTTGAAGATTTGGTTTGTGTGAAAATAGTTGCTGGTAGTACATGTACATGTACATCTGTGTTGTTTTACTAAAGGGGATTTTGGATGCTTCCTCTGAAAGTACATGTTACTGAGCCCAATTTCTAGTTTCTGGTTACAGTAAGCAAACAGTCTTTGCTTCATGTAACTGTTGTTAATAGTTATTTCACAAGTAAGCAGTGCATTTTGGTTTGTGGCACGCATGTACATGCACATTTACGTGTACATGTATGCTAGTGCTGTGCATTTTCAAATACTTTGTTTTTGATTATTGGAACTTGGATTAGATTGAACATTAACATGGAGGTACAACCTTTTATGAATGTCATGTACATTGTATGTATCGATATGTTTTTGAGATAGTCGACTAGCTGATATTGACAGTCTTGAAGATGCAAATAGAGCTGATATTCCTCATGGGAGAGCACGTAAAGTGGCTGTCCACAAATATATGACATTTACAATAAAACCACTCAACTTATATGATTAATATTACATCCCAGACATTTTTCATCGTATTCTCAATTTTGCTATTGGGATATTCAGTGGATGGTCAAATATTCAGATATTTGAAACGTTGGGCACAGCCCAAACAGCCCTAACATTCTATAACTAGGATTCTTTACTGGAGATAGTGTCAGTACAATTTTTTTTTTTATATGCCAGCGCTGTAAGCACAAACTGGTAATTATTAAGCACAGAATTCTGTGTTAAGCAGAGCCATGTATTAGGGTCTAGGAAAGAGTAAAGTCCGTTTCATAGTTACTTTTTTTGGTCATACTGAATTTGACGTCACGAAGCATTCGCTGCGAAATTCGCAGGAGTCCATATGTGTTCAACTTTTGCGAATTTGCAGCATAAAAAACTTGCCCTCACGTCAGAAATTCGCGTTGCGCTTGCTTTCGCGCCTAGTATGAACTGGCCTTAATTATCGCCTGTTTGCGACATTGAAAATTTCGTTCTAATCCTCTACGCCGAAAAATGGGTGTTAAGGTTTTATCTGTTGGTGTTCTTTCAAGGTTTGCTACTCTGTGTCATCAGTTTTGCACAGTTGTACATATCTAACATGTCCTTCTAGGATTGCTAAATCAGACCTTATTTCTGAATTTCCTTGTTGTGGGAGTTTAATACTTGACATTCTGAAACGTTGATCATAATTTGTGGAATACTGATGTGGTTTTTGCTTGAACGTGTATTTCATTATTTTTTTTTTATTTTTTAGTGTTGCCATTCAAAATGATGTGTTTACAAATCATATTTGATCAGTTTCCATCCATGCATGCATTTCTACCCTTTCTGTGGTTTTGCTTCATTTACATTTTCCTCCCGTTTTCTTCCCTCCATTTGCCCATTTCATTTTCCTGCCTGCCTGCCTGCCTCCCATTCATTCCAAGAAGGATTATCCGGTTGGTACATAACATGTTTGTTACCTTTCTTGCACTCGTATTAATATAGGTCTCACTCACTGACTTTGCTTAATAGCGCAGTGTTCTTAACATGTTCCTCTACTAAACAACATGCTTTGTTATGGTAGATTTTAAAAAAAAATTAAACATTTTTTTTTCTTCTTAATTCTTTTAAGTTTAATGTACCATGTGAATTTAAGATTAAAAAATTCAGTGTATAGGATCATTATTGCATTCCAAAGTGCAGTTATTATTTATGTTCTGTATTGCCAGAGAATTTTGGAGGGGAAAAAAGAAAGAAACCTTGATATTGAATAAATTTATTAAACAAATTGAGTTAACAAAGTTGGAAAATACTTTGCCTCATTTTTATTACCTTGTTCCTAACTTGTAGAGCATACCTTCAAAATCTTCCTTATGGGAGCATAAACAGAGGCCACACTCCCTATTTTGTGTTTCGTGTATCTTTACAAACACAAAATAAAAGGTTTGCAATTTGCATCCAAATGAGAGAGAGCAACACACACAAATCAAACGTGATGGGCACACTAGTCCTGATGTTCTGTGATCATGTGGGTTCAAGCGTGTTTACTACCGGCATAACTCATCTGAAAATCACATTTTTATTGCTACAAGTGCTACTATTTTTTAGTTAGTTGCATTGCAGTATACATTTTGTGAATAATTATTGCACTATCAGAGTTCTTTGTATTACTAAATCTGCATGAGGCAACTAACCGCCAGATTTGTACACTGCCTGTCTTCCACAGTACAAAATGTATCTCAGTCGCATCATGTCCTCACACTTTGCACAAGCTGAGCCATTGTTGTACGTTGATGTAAAATTGGTGCTGCTGACACTATAACAATTGTTTAGTCTTCATGTTTTCTTTCAGTATTTTATTCCATTAATTATGCAAAGGCTGTTTCTGAACAAAAACAATGATGGAGATCAAGACGAACTGATTTTTAGGGGGGGGGGGATTACTCAATGTGTTGTAGTGTTGCAGTCAGAGTGTTTCAAAGTGAGGGTAAACAAATTCAAGATGGACCAAACGAGTTTGAGTGATTATGCATATTGGCCATTTTTAGGGGCCACTTTGTCTTCTGCTGGGATAGACAGGAGTAGACCAGTTAAGCATTTATTGATACTGAATAGAAAATAAAATAATACTTCTATGATGGCTTCCACATGTATAAAATTCCTTGCCAAAAATGCATTAGGGATTTAGGGTTAATTGTGCATATTATTTTAAGTGTTCTACATGTACTCTACTGGATGCCAGCTTCTCAGAAAGGATTTTGACTTTTGATCTTGTGATTAGGTAGAGGTCAGACCAGTCTAGTCCTATTAGTAAGCCTCGTTAGTGAGTTGAGATATGATACTATGACATTCCAAAGGATAGATAAGTTTAAACTGGCTACTGTAGGTCAAATTTCCAACTTATCGCCCTTGTCTTGTGCACACTTAACCTTGTTCTAATGATTATTTTGCACTTAGCTTTGTCGGCGTTTGATTTGTTGGTTATTTTTATCAATTTTTGGAAATGGATGCAACATGAGATGCTCTTTTCAACACAAAAGGGGTGGAACAACATCTGAGGCTTAGCCAAGGGTTCCATGCAGTAAGGGGGGTTAAAAGTAGTTAGGTTGTAATCAATAGGGAAAAAAGTATTCTGAGCAAGCTACTGTCATTATGACTATGAGCATCAATGACAAGCAGAATACAAATTTGAATGATTGGGTTAAAACTTCTATGCATTGGCAGTGCTGTTTCTACAACTTGGTACCTGTGTGACAAAAGTGCAGCACTACACCTTTACAGCAAGACAAAATAATTTCATTTCAGCTTAGGCAGTTAGGCCAAAAAACAAAGTCTCCGGCTTCTGGTATCGAGCTTGCCCAAAAAGTGGTGCGGCAACGCTGCTTTTGTTTTTTTTACCTGTTTTTTTTGCTTCAAATGTCGGCTGATGACATCTAAATGGTGCCCGACTAAATTTAGTGTAAATATTATGGGAGACCAGAGAGGCCACATAAAGCTTATTCTTGATCATAACCCCATCTAAAAACACGTTAAAATTGTGCAGCAGCAGGATTCCAGTCAAACTAGTGAGTTTGGCGGTTTTGAGACATCATCTTTCATTGAAAAAAAAACTTTTTCATTTTGCCGACGCGCATGGCTACGGCGACGCGCGCGCATACCAGAAACCAGAGACTTTTTTTTTTGGCCTCAACTACATGTACCGTAGGCCCATCTTTGCATACACCATGTGCCCTGTGATGCCAATAGCCAACCGGCTTGCAACCAACAGACAATCCAAACATTGAAGCATCTTTCTGCATGTTATTTGGCCCACATTCAACAGTTTACGTGTATGTCACTACTATTGACACCAATCACATTTCAAGTGATACACATGCAGTGGAGAAGGCATCACATGACCACAACATCCAATTTGTAAACCAATGTCACATGGTCTATATGTGCTTTCATCTAAAGTTTGCCAACGTTTCTGTGATGTACATGATACAAAATGTCATAGTTTTTCTAAACTCGCCAAGAGGCAGATCTAGACTCAATGTACAAAATACACCCACTTGTTCATCTTCCTATAAAAAGATTTCTTTTAAATCCTGTGAATCCCTTTCACTTATTGTGGCGCTTTGATTGATCGCTGCTTGGGAGTGAGAGTTGATCTCTCCTCGGTGCTCAGAATTGGAAATTTAAGCCTCTCTGACTTTGTGAGAAGGAATTTTTCAATCAAAGACACGATATTCAAGCTAACCTCAGTAGCTTGTAGCTTCTCTTGGTAAAAGAATCTGATATGAACACCTTAAAGTGTTTTGTTTCCAGGAAAAGAGATATTTTTTTCTTGTTGTGTACTTGTATTTCGTTTCAGCAATAATCAATTCACCCAATGTTAGCTGTGTCAGCTGTGTTATTTTCACTAAAAACAAAATGTTCTTTGAAAATTTGTGCTTGTTTATTAACCGAATCAAAGCTAACTGACATTTTAGTCAATTGATGTCTTCTTTTTTTTCCTTTCTGTTTCTGACTTTGAAATTATGGATATTTACTAGTTTGTTTTGTTATAAATAAATATTGTTCACTTGCATGACTGTAATTGCGTTTGAAGTATAAAAAATGTTGTCTGTTAAATTTACTTTGTTGTAAAATTGTGAAGTGTGCTTACTGGTCAATGACTTACTATGCAGGTGTAACATTTAACAATTGTTGACTGCTGTGATGTGGGATATGACGTTTGTTACACCCGAGTGGCGCATAGCACCCCAGGCAAACTAAGCGCCCCAAGGGGGTTAAAAACGGCATATCCCACATCACAGCAGTCAGCAATTGTTTTGTTATATCGTGCCAATATCTCAAAAAGATTAATGGTTGTTACTTACTGTGTGAAAAATAAATTAATCATTGCGATGTTCATGTAACCTTTGATGACTGAAGGTTTTGATGTCCTGCTGGACATGAGACTGAGCGTTTGACGTTGCAGTTCTCATTGCGTGAAGCTAGCGCGCCGGTAGGTTCCACACACACGCGCAACGCGTGCAGTGAAGGCAATGCGATATCACCCTCAGTGCGTGACATGCATTTTTATTGTCCATACACGTGGCTGTCCTAGACCAATAAAATTACAATATCCAAGCACATGATATAACAAAACTAATTACAATCCTTTTCCTCTACATTGAATAGATAAGGAATTAAAAGTAACAACAAATTTCACTTCCCCCCCCAAAAAAAAAAAATCATTTAATTCATATACTTATGTGAACATATTGTAAACCGCATAGTTGTAGATTGCACATTTTTATTATGCACATGCAACATTAGCATTTCAATATTCACATCTCATTTATTCCACCACTAGTACATGTAGAGTCAATCCAGTAGAAGAATTACATGTGAAGTTAAGCTCATGGCAGATTTCTTTTGCGTTTCACATTTTCAGATCTCATTTGCTGTGATTCAGTGGTTAGCTTTTCATCAATGTATTGAAAATAATACACAATCCTGTCAACAAAAGCACATATTCTGAACGGCTTCATGGTGGATCTAGGCACTTGTCCTTGGTCTGTTGGTGTTAATTGTACACTTCACGTTATCTGTGCGCACGACTCATCCCTAAAGAGTTCACGCACTCAAATTAAACATATTACAAAAATCAGGTTTGTGGTACCAAACATGTGAACATTGATCGATTCTGTGAAAACAAAATGTTGGTTCGACGAGAAAAAAAGTGGTAAGAATGTTTTTTCTCAAAACCTTTTCGTTTGAAATCAACCAGAGATTATTTCTATTTGATTATTTATTATTTCTGGTAATGAAATCCAGGATTTCTCAAAAGTGCTCTAGGAACTATTCCTCTCAATCGTGAAGAAACTTTTATAATGAGAAGAAAATGGAGAAATGTTCAGCTTTAAAGGTTGGAAGAAAAACCCTAAGACAAGTTTGCTAAAGAAAACCCACAGAATCAGGTAGGGACTGAAACCCAATCCACATGTGGACCAGGGCAGGAATCGAACCCAGGCCACAGCGGTGGAAGGCGAGGAAAGAACAACTGCACCAACCTGACTCCCCCACAATTCTCACATGTTGCCCGCAAACCTTGTTTTGCATTTAACTGCAAAACTTAATGTAAATGTAAATCCAACGTTCCCAAATCATTTGCTACTGTTTCCTTATCATCTAGTGGTGGAGCTGATCTACTGGCGAGACCCTAAGAAGACGGCCCCAGTCTTTGCCAGCGTTCTCCTGGTCCTGCTGGCCCTCAGCATGTGTTCCTTCATCAGTGTGGTTGCGTATCTTCTCCTGGCTGTTATGACTGTTACGATCAGTTTCCGCGTCTACAAGACTGTCATGCAGGCTGTGCAGAAGACTGGCGAAGGAAACCCCTTCAAGTAAGTTCCAATCTCTTACATTAAAAAAAAGTCAAACATTAAGTTTGAGAAAATCAAAGAACTGTCTGGTCTCGTGTTTCTGTATTTGCAAAATGTAACCTTTCTCAGCTCACAACCTTACATGAAGCGAGTATTAAAAAAGGCTAAAAGAAAATTCTATGAAACCTTGTTCTAAGTGTTTTCGCAGATTACCTTAGATTTTGTTACAAGTGCAGTCTTTTTAAACACATATAGCACAGGCCGATGCCAGATTTGACGCAAGTACATGTATACTTGTGTTTTTAAGGCCGCTTCATACTTGGCAAGAAAGCGAACATGAACGTGAGTTTTGTGATGTCACAACAGGTATTCGTGCTATGAATTCACGAAAGTTGAACACATTTCAACTCCGCCGAATTTCACAATGAACGTTTCCTGACGTCGTATCCGATTCGCAGTCAAGTGAAGAAAGAACGGACTTTTACTTCTGTGATTTTCTTTTAAAAACTGTGTTCCCATTTTAATCAGTACCAGAATTTATCTGTGATCTGTTTTCTTGTTCAGGGCCTACTTGGATCAGGACATGACTCTGTCCAAAGCCCAGATTGAGAAGTACACTGACAAGGTGATTGATCACATCAATGCTCACAGTGGCTGCCTGCGACACCTGCTGCTAGTGGAAGATCTCGTTGACTCTATCAAGGTACAGAAAAAAACAAACCAAGACCGGTCCGATTCATTGCATTATCAAAATCTAATCTATGGCTTCATTCCTCACAAGTTCTTTGAACACTGATTTGGTTTTGTCTGTGCATTTATACATTTAGTCAGAGTATTGAAAGATTGCTAATCTAATTCATTGGCCTTTCACGCAACATTTGGATTATGCTCTAGTTGTGGAGGATTTTATCATACCGGCAATATCGTGGGGGGTGGGGGGGGGGGGGACAAATTGATTACGGACTAAATCGACTAAATCAGTATCTCCAACGTTACATTGGGGTTGCATCCTCCAGTCCACTAGTGCTGTGCATTTTTCAAATAATTAACCATAACAGTCCTGAATCCTCCAATTTTAATACAATTTTTCACACCCTTTAGGGATTTAGGCTTTTTTAAGTATTCAATTGGTGAAACTTTAATTTGATCTTAATATTCGTGACATTGAGCTGAAAATTGTATGATTGTCCTGCAAATTTGGGTTAACATGTGTTATGGAAGTTTTGAAATCATGCGTGGAAAGCCGCTGCCCATAAAATCGTAGCATTGTAGAATACCAGTCAACTTGTACAAATAAATAAAATCTCAGATGTTTTGCGTCATCTTCTCAAGACTGCTCACCTTTTCTTACTATTCTGTTTTGTAAAATGCTATTCGGATATTAGGTACGTTTGGCACAGCCCTCCAATACATTCCATTTGGAGGGTATTGGCGCGTCTGGCTGGCTGACAAAAGATTACACTCCAAAGACCAGGATATGAATGATGTTACCCCTCGACTGTTTAACGCGCACTTAGTTTCAATAGGTTTCTTAACATAACAGAAATATTTCTTCAAAGTGACTCAGGTAGATTTGCTTGAATGCGAGGTTTGATTTTTGAGGACTCATTGTTTTCTTTTCGTGTTTTGTTTTGTCATGATGACTCAGTTTGCCGTTGTGCTGTGGCTGTTGACCTACGTGGGAGCCTGGTTCAACGGACTCACTCTGGTCATGCTGGGTAAGCAATCCATGTCCCCCTTTGTTTTGTTGTACTGTTCCCTGATATATGTCACTATTTCGACTGAAGTTTACTAAAAAACATTTCCATTCACTGTCCACTATTTATCATTATTCAAGGAGCAAAAAAAATTGATTAAAACCATTTCTCAGCTGTCGGTTGATTTTTGAGGTATATGTACCTTTTGCCATCTCACTTATATTTCAAGGTAGAGTACATCATTTGTCATTTGTGCATTTTTTTTTCCGTTTGAAACAACAAAAGTGATCAAAATCTAAAAACGGGTGCTTAACAACTAACCTGATTAAGTATTAGCTCAGTGAATGCTGTATATTCTGAGAAAACAATATTCTAGGATCTCAATTTCAATTGAAAAGTTGCAAAGTCATGTTTTGAATTGCGTTCGAAATCAGCGTCCGGGACACGTTCTCATTCAGCCGATTGCAGCTACGCAATGTCATGCACTGAACTGGCGAATTATAGCAACCGCACATGCGTGTGCATCGTGTCAACGCTTACGCACACTCATTCACAGCTTCGCTGTATTAAAAACAAACTACTAACAGAAATTTTCAAAAATGCATCTTTGGAAATGACCTTGTTTTTATTGTTTTCTTCAAAATGACAGCATGCCAGAAAGAATAATTTCACAGGGAGTTTAGTGCCATTACTATCTTTAAATCAAGTACGCTTTGCAACAATAATTTCATCAGTTACTTTTTGGATAGCTGCAAATGATGTACCGGTACTGTACCTTCAAGTGTGAACAAACTCTTTAGGGGTTAATTGTTATAAAATTCAGACTAAGCAAGTCTAGTACAGCTTGTCCAAGGCCACTTTGGTGTAAGGGGTCAAGGGTGGTCATCCAACTCAAATTCTTGGGCTAAGGTGAGATGTAGGAAGTCTAATTTACAAGTGACAATCAGTCAGTCAGTCAGTCAGTCACTGAGATAGGTACAAAGAGGACACTAGGCTGGCCCTCTGGGACCAGCACAAATCTTCACAGTCTTGACTTTGGAAAGAGTGTAGTATCCAGGCGCCACTTTGGGGGTTGTGTACAAAGTCTATGGAGAGTCAAGAAGTATTTTCTAACACAATTGGAAATGTTTCTCAGTCCCAGATTCATGTCTAATCATCATTTTTGCAATGACTGACCTCCATTGAGACGATGTATGATGAAAAAAGTGGCGTCAACATGCAACATTCTTTCCTTGATTTTTCCGGTTTACATGTACATACTTGTAGCAACATACTGGTACTCGTAGCAATACGTTGGTTTTTGATAACCAATGACGCATCCAATAGACTGGGCACAAATGGTTGACCTGTTCAACAATCCTGTGAAAGGATGACAACATGTTGGACATTACCCCCATCTGGATGCCTGATGTTTTTTTATAACTTGGGACGGGACAATGTCCTGGGATTTCTTCTGAATAGCTGATAGTGATTGCTGCAATATCAAATATGTTCAACGGTCAATGCTTGTCATTCCATAGTTTGTAATGACACTGATTTCCCTTGTTTACTTTCTTTACAGCCTGGATTGACCTGTTCACTCTGCCCATTGTGTACGAGAAGTACCAGGTAGGGTCGTTGACCTCTCGTCCGAATAACAAATCTTACTTGAAAAAGAGTTACATAAACACAACACATCAGGCCAAAAAAAAAATAGTTATGCTTCCGATTACATGGCATTCAAAAATAGGGTAGGTAGGTAGGGAATTTAATTTTTTTTTTGCCAATTTTTTGTGTACGATCATATGGAGGCGTCTGCGTGTAATCAAGGGTAAAAGGTAGAAATCGATAGTTTTTGGTGTTTTTTTGTTTTCTCATTTTTCCCATAAAAAAATAGGGTAGGGGCTGTCAGAATAGGGTACGTGGGGAAACCGGAAGCAGAACTAATTTTTTTGTGTGGTCTAATGACAGTATTGATAAGTCCCTTCACACGTCCAAATCATGTTGATCATGAAATCATACAAGTATTACTAAAAGAAGGTTTCCAATATTGCGCTTCTCAGCTTGCTTAGGAAATATTTGTTCTTAGCAAAAGTCAGCTAAGAACCAGTTGATAGCAGTTAACACTGCGGAATTGGTCTTCCAAGAAACATGGTTTTACAATGCGAAATCACACAAAAAAAACTTGACCAGAGTACTGCTTGGATATTTTCCTACATTCACAAACTTTGTTTTGTTCTTTGAGATTTGAAATTACCATACCATGTTGTTTGGTGTTTCTGACAAAGAGTTGAATTTCACTCACCATGCGCGCAACTGATTGCTTTTTTTTTTAAAGAATTTGTTCATTGTATCATTGCTGTACATTGTTACTGAAGCCAAAAATAGTCGCATCCATGCAATGCGGTTGGCATCTACATCAGCATGTTGCCTCAGGTGAAATACTTATGTTAACATGATACGTGCACATGACCTATGTGCAAACTGTACTATGTCGGTGTCATTATCCTGAGGAACCATGTACGTGTTACGTGAGACTTCCGCATACAATGAATGGGCATGAGTTTCAGATCTTTAAGTCCCTTTTTTCACTAAAAAAATGAATATACATGTAAGAGCAGAAATTGTTGCTAATCTGAGAGATGTTCACTGTCATATTTGTCACGTCATGAATAAGTATGAAGTGGTTTTGACCTGTTTTCAAGGATGAGTGCTTATAATTTCTAAGGTGAAAAAAAACACTGATTATGACAACTTTTAAAGGGGCATTACAGCCTGAAATCAGCGAACATTAGATGTTTTGGATTGTTTACTTATACCATTTTAAAGGTCTAGTTGATAGGAAATTAACCTAATGTCTTAGCGTTCCTGAGAAAAGACGGGAAAAAACCTGGTTGTTTACATGGAACAGAACGGAGTAGACATATGTATTTCCTGTCGTTTTCATTCAATGTACGATACACGTTGTGCATGTCACATAAATTACACACAGCTCCGATACATAAATGTTGTTTCTTACACGTCCCCAGACTGTGTCAACTGTGCTGCTGGAAATAAAAGTAGCACTAAACAGTTTGATTTTTCAGGACAAAATTGTGACCCCCAAAATTCGTTCTCGCATGGTTCTTGTAAAAATAACACCAAAACGTCGGGCTTTTAAAGGATGCGTGTGTGGACGTATATATTCTGTTTAAAACACGCTTTTTAGCCCAATTGGGCATATTCCAGGCCGTAATGTCCCCTTAACATTATCGCACATTAATGTCTTTCATATTCACCTCATCATAAACCCAGGATTGATTTCAGCAAGGTGTACATGTATTCTGTCCCTTCTTGTCATATTTTATGCAGGTACAGATTGATGAAGCAGTCGGCAAGGCACACACCCAGATCAATACCGTCATTGCCAAGTAAGTCAACACTGAAATCATTGAAATTCTCTTTAGCTTTGTAGACATTGCGAGAAAGTCTTCAGTTTGCACTAGGTGCTTTGACTCGGTAATTTGTACGGCTTTTTGGACATGTTCCTCACAAACTCACAAAAGAGATTTGGGTGATTTCAGCGCTATGTGATGTCCGTAACAGAGCTTTTAAGAGCTCAGTGAATAAACCTGAAAATGTATTTTTCTAATCCTTTTTATCCATTATCTAGTAATGGTGAAGGAGATTAAAGACTAGGAGTTGGGGATCATTTCTCTGAATCATTAATTACCGTAATTTTCGGAATATAAGCCGCGCGGCGTATAAGCCGCAGTACGCAAAAATCTGCAAATTAAGATTTGAAGTCGGCGTATAAGCCGCACCGGCGTATAAGCCGCACCGACCGCTGCGGTTTCAATTTTGTAAGGCCTCCAAATTCAAGTCAAAATGCTCTGAACCAGTTCCATTTACACTTTAGAAGCTATTAAAAGGACCACAAAAGTTATATCAATCATTTACAATCGATACTTTTACAAACAAATATGGGAATTGATGAGAAATAAACACCGGAAACTGCTGCCGGCTTCCCCGTCTTAGCCCGGCAGCCTGCGCCACGCACGCCGGTGAATGACACCATTTTCCCACAGCACGTGAGAGAGTATGAAACCCACCGTGTGTTGTCTGACTGGAGCGCTACAAATCTTGCTTTGTGGCAACAGATGCTGATTTGTTTTGTCCTAAGAATAAACAGGTCCGTTTTTACCTCAAAACTTATCAAATTGTTGCGATTAGTTGCGAGAAAAATTCAAGTTTCGATCATAACTTTCTTCAGAAATAGTCAAAACGAAGCGGACATTTAAATAGACGATTCCATTAATTTTGTAAGGGGTGATTTAGTCCCTCTTTTGAGTTTTACATCGTTTCTTGAATACATTTCAAGAAAACAAAATATATTGTGACGTTGAACAACTGATTATGTAATAAAAAAATGTTTCAAACGCCATAAAAATTTTAGTGGTCTTTTTTCTTTTTTTTTAAACAGCGAAAATATTGGTAATTATTGTTCCCAAGAAAGAACACCCCTTTGTTACCAAAAATGGTGTGGTCCGCTGTCGGGAAAGCATGCCTGCATATCGCTGCTGCACTGTACCAGTATCACGTACGGCTGGTGGCAAGTGTCGAAGACAGCTTTCATCACCGTACTTTTTTTACCGCTCGGTACCTTTACGTGAGACGTGGTTTCGGTTTGTTAATGACTTTCTTAATTTATAATTCATTTCAGCACCATATCTCTTCTTATACCAGTACATTAAATACACATGTGAATTTCATTTTTATTCTTCAAGGCTCGGCGTATAAGCCGCCCGGTGTATAAGCCGCAGTAAACATTTTCATGGGCAAAATCAACGTATAAGCCGCGGCTTATATTCCGAAAATTACGGTAGATATCATGGTTAATTGACTCCTTTGCAGACACATTACACTGCCTTTCATAACACTGGAATTGCCCATTTGTTACATGGTTGATTCCGTGTCAAACCACCCCCCCCCCCCCCAAAAAAGGGAAGTTTAAACCCCACTCCTTTCAAATTGGTTCATATTTGGTATATGGGGTAATTTAGGCTGAAAAAGCTGAAATTTTAAGTTTAAGCGCCATCCAATGAACGCTTTTTGCGATATTGCTCACAATTGTTTGGCAATTTTGGTCAAAATGGGCGTGGCCACCAAATTTCAAATGAACATATTTCCATAACCTGTTGGCCAAATTTGTTAATCTTGGTTTCTTTGGAAAGTTAACATCATAAGGAATCCAAATTTACCATTACTTTTCATGTCTGAGTACTTTGAAGTATGATGACCTTTTGACCTTTACTTTGAACTTGAATTTGACCTTGTGGATCAAGTGAACTTAAGACAAATTTTGGTGAAAATTATACCTCAACATGTTTTCTACAAAATATCCAAAAATTGGAGGTATAATATTTTTGGTTTGGTTTCTAGCTCATCTCAAAGTTGGCATACTTGTTGCAAAATGTGATATCCCTATTCAGTGTACTAGTGGATTAAAGCAGATTTTGTTTGTCCCTGCGGTGTGCTAGTGGATTTAATGCAGGGATTTCTTTTGTCCCTGAAATGTGCATGTATGTATAGGGATATCACCTTTTGCAACACACATGCAAACTTTGACATGAGCTAGTAACAAAACAAAACATTTTATACCACCAATTTTTGGATATTTTGTAGAAAACATGTTGAAGTATAATTTTCGTCAAAGTTTGTCTCAAGTTTACTTGATCCACAAGGTCAAATTCAAGTTCAAAGTAAAGGTCAAAAGGTCATCATACTTCAAAGTACTCAGACATGAAAAGTAATGGTAAATTTGGATTCCTTATGATGTTACCTTTCCAAAGAAACCAAGATCAACATATTTGGCCCACAGGTTATGGAGATATGGTCATTTGAAAATTGATGGCCATGCCCATTTTGACCAAAATTGCCAAACAATTGTGAGCAATATCGCAAAAGCGTTCATCGGATGGTGCTAAAACTCTAAACTTCAGCTTTTTCAGCCTAAATTAACCCATATACTAAATATGAGCAATTTTGAAGGGGGTGGGGTTTAACTCATTGGGTGATTTGGCACGGAATGACCCACATGGTGCTGCGGTAAACTTAATCTTGGTGTTTTAAATGTTTTGTGGAAAAAAAAAGATGTTTTGTCATTAACACGGTTTCTGAATGTGCGTGGTTCTGTCTGTAAACAATGCAGGGTGGATTGATTACAGGGTAAAGCATGCAAGAAGTGGATTGTGAGGTTAAATAGTGGCCTATGAGGCAAACAGTTACTGGTGCACTGTATTATGAATCTTTTCTTATTGGTTTTACATTTTAGCACTGCGATTTGGGCACATAATTTCATGGTTAACAGAATCGTAACAAAACTTGTCCCAGAATGTGTGACTTGACTTTAGAATGGCCAAACCATTTCACACATGTCATCAGGATTAAAGGATCATTCTTGCCTGGCTGTCATTAGAAGACAACAGAGCTCCCTCTACAGTACCTGTGTGGATCCAATACTCTCCTTCTTTTATATTTACACATTTCAAAACGGGTTTATGGCTTCCGACTAGCGCCCCTTGAACAAAGACATAAACGAAATGGGGAACCGGCAACATGGGGCTGGATGGCTCAGTTGGTAGAGCACTGGAACGACAATCCGGTGGTTGCAGGCTCAAATCCTGCTCCCAGAAATTTCTTCATTCAACTTTCAATTATTGATTTTTTTACCCACTTCACAGCATCAAGACCAAGATCCCCTGGTTGAAGAAGAAAGAGGAGTAAATCAACCTCCTTCCCAGAGCCGTGTTCTCTTGATGTCAACGTCAAGACACGATCAAGTACAGCAGCATGTTATATGAGGCATGATTGTATCAACAGCCACCAAGCACTATAAGAAAAAGATTACAAAACACAGACCAGCTTATCTCCATAAAAAAAAATTAAGAAAAATCAAGTAATACTAAATATGCATTGAGATACATGTAAAGATAAAATATATAAGATCAAATGTAAAACTCCACAGGCAACTTACTAGGTGTTGAGTGTAATATTGTCTTGCTAAGCGAAGATGACATTTCTGGTAACGCAGTAAAATATTGCTTACGTCCTACGACAAAATAAAAACATTGCTCGATGGAAATCAAGTTTCAAAATGTGGGTGATGTTGTTCTGTCGGTATGCCGCGCTCCCAGTTAAAACACAGTGTGCAAGTGAATTATAAAATACTGATCGGAATGTCCATGATTGTCATGAAATTAGCTTACAAGCCGAAACGATCTGTTTTTTGTATATAAAGGATGCGACCAGAAATAATTGGCAAATCTTTAGACCGAACTCACAAATAACTGGTGTGCTAATTTTTTAAGATGGTATTGGGGTGGTTTTTGTTTGTTTACATTTTTAAAGCAAAAGCACTTATGAATCATTTTCGTTACAGACCTGCGAAAGAAAGTTTTATTCCATTAAAAATTGAGTCACCAAAGTTTTTGCCAGTAACAAGAGAAGAATTTCTTATAAAGTAATACGCACTTTGAAAACTAGAAATTAAACACATGCAGTTCAGGAAAAAACAATGACGGATGAATCGTCAAAAGTGTCGGATCAAATTTAAAACATCTGCAAAACATCAGCTATTTGTGAGACCAACGTGCTTAAAAAATGTTGGGTAGCAGTTTAAGCATTGCAAACATAGCGTACGGTGATTTTCAAATTTCTCAATTTCAAGATACTGCCTCATCTGTACTGTGTGTAGAAGTTGTGCTGTGCGTTTGGCATCATCTTTTGATCGTGGGACAACATTGCTGTTTTGTGCTGGCCAGTGTTAAGCTTTTGATGTGTACATCTTAAATGCCTCTCTTTGATAAAAACAGGATTGTAAAACTGCTGAACATTCAACACTCTTGAAAACAAGAAATTATCTGTGAATAATGATTCAAAATCGCTGGAGCAATCGATAAAGATTGCCTTCCGCAAGTGTGTATGTGTAAAGTAATCGTAGGCATGTCAACATGATTAATATTGATATAACGCTAATATTACAAGTTTTAAAAGAAGAAAAAAACACTAAATATTGAGATTGCTGGTTGCAGCATTATTTTGTACAGAGGATGTTCAGTGTTATTCATGTATCATTTGATTGAGTGCAGTAATGGTTTACAAGGTATAGCCATATCTGAATGGAGCTAATGGCTTACGGCTTTGCCATACTTTCACCAAAGTGTGTATCCATAGCCGTACACAGAAATTGCCCGATTCGGATATGGCTTAACACCGACCTGCAGCCATTTTGTCTTGTACCCTGAATTCTCTAACCATTCAGTGTCATCACAGCACAGGTATCAGCCTATTTTACACTGAGGCTGCCTCTTCGTGAGGCTACGTCCGTATAACTTGGCTTTCAGTTACACTTGCGGCTATGGACACGGCTGTGGCTACTTCCCATAGATGCGTGTGTTACTACAAGCCGTAGCCATGTCATTTGGATGCAGCCGAGTCTCATAAACTTCTTAATTTTCAAAATGGCTGCAGCATGATCAGTGATATGACAGTTGTAATCGTAGCTACATGGCAGAACCATGTATTGAAGAGTTTGGATTTTGCTAATTTTTTCTTATTCATCATCCAATATTGTCATAAAAACTAGGATACATAATTCAAGTTGTAGAATAGTAGTCCAAGTATTAGTAGTCTGTAAATCGCCCGTAAAAATTGTTCAATAAATCTCATTAAGAGTACATGTAGGTAGCAGAACACGTGAAATTGTGTGTACAGCCAATGTTATGTGATTGTGACAGTATATTGTACCTTCAATCAAATTGTCATGATTGTGTTGCCTTGCAGACTAGATTTCGACTGGACAATTTATTGAAGTAGAGGTTATTGTAAACTCTGCATTCCTTTGTCTGAATGAACAAATATTTGCAAACATTTTAATCCTCTGTTCCTTTTTTTACGTTGCGAAGTGCAGCATAAATGATGTTTCCTATACACAATTATTTACTACTTGATGCAACATACGGAGTACCAAAACCTATAGCCAGTCCTAGTCGAGTTTAATTATTCCAATTTTGATAAAAACTTTTTCATTGGCTTTGTTTATTGTAATTTCTTAGCAGGAACCTTTTTGCCATTAATTTGCGGATAGCTTTAATAAAGGCAGGTTGTTCAATATTCATGTTTCTAAGTAAGTGCAGTATAAAGGTAAATGAAGACTGTTTCAATATTGTATTCTCGTGTAAGTAAGTATCGAAACGGAACGGTTTGTCAAAAAAGAGGGTTTTTTTATGGTGGAGCAACTCTGTCTTTGGTGACTAGAGTTTGCTCTTTGTCTGGGTCATTTGCCAAAAGCTGGCTTCATTTCAGGTTCAGCACCAAAATGGTTTATTATAAATAAAACAAATATGAGCTTCTATTGCTCAAACAAAATGACCTCATAGTAGATTTGGTGTTCAGTACCAGGAAATGCCTGTGTAGTGATCCGAAATAGTGAAACTGGAGGCTGAAGCCGAAGTGCATATGAAGCCATGATTTGGAAACACCCATCCTTCAAGAAATATGTAATTTGTTGTAAGGTGTTCCGTTATTCCCGTAGACACGATAACATGACCTTCCTAACTTACAAGAGAAAATCATAAAATCATCCAGTTCATTGCAAAACACTTTTTTGTGATATTCAACATCGCATCAACACCATGGTTTTTTTTACATTGAGAATCTGAATGTAACAGTCGTTGTGACAATCCTTTTGTTCGTTTTTGTAGGTCATGCTTGCCATAAAATGCAGTTTTTGTTTTATAAGTTGCTATTTGCTAAGCATTTTGGTTTAAAACTTGCAACTTACATGGTCTTGCATCTCAGTGCAAATATTAGTGTGCTTTCATTTTTTTTTTAAATCAATATGTTAGCAACTCTTCAGCATAGCACCAAAGGGAGTTGAAAATTTTTAAACTTAAAGTTCTATCCCTGATAATAGTGCAATTTTCTGGAATTGAAAATTCTGATTTCTCTGGGTTTGATTTCTATAAATTGTTTAAAAAAAAAAAAAAGCTCTGTAAATATTTAAAATGTAGCAGAGTGACTTTTTTCCTTATTACTAGTGCACATTATTGTGCTCAGAAATCCAAAGTAATCTTAGATTAGAAAAGTAGACGCCTTGTAAAGTTGCTGCTTTTGCATGACTTTTTGTAATATTACTTGAATGTACCTCTGGAAGTCCGTGTTGTTTGAATGTTGAACCTTTTCCCGTTTACAAAAAAAAGCACAAGTCGATGAATTCATCAGGAATATATTGGATACTCAACTTCGAATGATTAGCCTGTCGCAAACTGAATGCGTCAATTAATAGTACAGACGTGATTTTATTTTCTACTAGCCATTTCTGTAACATTAAAGGGTTGTATGTTTTAAATCGTACAAGGGTGCATATACACCAATTCGTGCACACTATCACCATACATTCACGAGGGCCCCCATCAATGGCGACAGCATTATGCTAGCTATTGTACAAAGCAACTGCCCTATGATGGATTATCTGAACAGTGGTAGTGTGCTTGGATTGGTCAGAAGATGTAGAAATTTCATATTTTCTCTGATTTATTGGCAGTTTTCAATTCTCATAATTAAGTCTGATAATTAAGAGTACAGCGCTTTGATATTAAATAGGGCCAGTCAATAAAAACTTGCACCGATTAAAAAAAGATGTTAAAAATATATGCCAGTCAACTGGTTGTGGCATTTGTAAAAAAAATATATATCATCATGTGAAATTAACAATGCTGTTCTTTCATTTGGTGCAAATTTGTGAAGGTTTGTCCAATCAGCTGTAGTCAAATGATATTACTTTGTTTAAGAGTATCATGTGTATGACGTACATACCCTTAGTGTTTCAAGAAATGTTTAACAGTATTCAGGCATGTTCAATTAATGAAGATAACATTTCATAAAAATGACATTTTTATGTTTCTATTGTTATTTGAAATGAGCTGTGGAAGTGACTTATAAGTTTATAAGTTTTGAGATTTATATTGTAATTTTTGGAGATTGTTGCATAATGGAAATCTTTCAGTAGTTGAGAATTGCTTGTTAACCCAATTTTTTTTATTTTTTTCCCCTTTTTTGGTTTAAGACAATTGTGCTGGTAAGAGAAAGACAATGTAGAAAACAATTTAGAGTGATTAGGTTTTTGCATTTGGCATTCCCTCGCAGTGTGATGCTGTATTAATTACAAAATTAAATAAAAACGTGACTGTTAAAGCCCAACAAGACATTGTCAGTTATTGTTAATGATTTGTTGTAAGAGTGTTCAAAATATATGCTCCGTACCCGAAGAGACAGGAGATGGCCACTTTTGAACCGCCAAGACAAAATGTTTGATCTGCTTTTCTGGTAGCAGAAAAGCAAATGTCCTTTTTTGGAACACCAGTGAAGGGCAAAATGTAAAACCTTGTCTGCTGGCAGAAAAGCCAAAAAGTATAAAAATAAAAAAAAAAATTGCAAACGTTTAGTCTGCTTTTCTGGTAGCAAAACGACCCCAATTTTTATATTTAGTTTTTAGTGACGTCCCCAAAAAGGCAACCACAAAACTCAACAAAAGCAATACATGTGGCCCCCCCTTACTTTTCACACGCCCCCAAACAACTCCCAGGGCCCCCAAGGTGCCCCCCCCCCCAATAAAAAAAAGTTGCCACTTGCCAAAGTGTCTTTAAAGTATTTTTTGAATAATTCAACAGAAGAGGCATGTAAATGACAATTTATTTTTTTTAATTCCCTTTACCCTAAAGCGTTATGAAATGTGAATAATTTTGTAAGAAAAAAGAGCGCCCTCTAGCGTCAACAGAGGTCTGACTTTTTAATTATAATTATTTTCTTCAAATTAAATAAAAATAAACAAAACATCGGGTTGTTTTTCATGTTTTATTTACACAGGAAAAAAACCCTACTTTTTTTTCTATTTTGGACAATTTCGATACTGAAAATACAAATTTTGTTTGGGTTACTTTTCACCCAAATAAAGCAAAACGGATATACATGTAACTGAATTGTCGGGCCACAAATAATTCAAAATGTTTACAGGTGCAGAGGGGGAGGGGACTTTTGGAAGCGTTCAATTTTAAGACAAGTGGCCAGGGTAGAAAATACACTAATTAGTACAAAATACAAATGACTATTTTAAAGCTATGAATACAATCATCAAACCCTACAATCAATGGTTATAACAGAAACATAAAGGTATCATAAAATTATCGTTCTCTCTTTCAGGCTCCACAGAGGATATAATGAACAATTTTAAGTTAAGGATTGGAGTTTTGATGTTATCCATTCTAAATCAGCAAGTTCCACGATACTTAAGTCTGAAAATAATTAAGCGGGCCCAGCCAGTGACACCTACGTACAACTGTTAGCCCTGTTGCCTTTTTACATATGCAAGTCTGAAATTGCTCAAACAATTGTGTAATTTTTCAGACATTCTGCCCCCCCCCCAAAAAAAACACCCTGACATTTTAAGTCAAAATATACAGTGTAAGCACTTCTTTGGAATGTTGTACATGTACAGAAGCAGCCATTGTAATTGACCTGGAGTCACCACGAAGGATGGCACTACCCTAGAAATTTGAAACCCAATCCACATATTGGGTCACAGCGGTGGAAGGCGAGGAAAGGACCAACCTGGTCTTCATATCAAAATGGGGATCTGAGTGTGCTCTAAAACGAGGAGTTGCAAAGATCTCCTTACAACTCATTATGTGATATCCAGCAACAATTCATCAACTTGTTTTTCATCAAAGAAATAGCTTGATCTCATCTATTCATTATGAATACAGACGCCATGACCTGTCCCAGGCAACCATACATGTACATGAACACAAGTATACATGCATGACTGCACGTCATTGCTCCACATGATCAAGTGTTGCAACTAGTGGTGGGACTAAAATCTGGATTTGTTAAAATTCACTTTGAATTCCACTATACGGTTGGGAATCTTGCAAAACTTGGTATTCGAAACCATCCTTACAAAATTGGAGCCTTCCATTTTTAATACTAACAATAATAATGTGGTGCTTATATAGCACTTTATACCTAAGGTGTCAAAGTGCTTTACCATTATTATCCCTGTTTATCAGGAATGAGACCACTTTTCTGCAGCAGCTCGAGATCAGCGCAATTTGGTCTCTACCTTCACAGGTACCCATTTATACTCCTGGGTAAAGAGAGGACAATTGTAGTAAAGGGCCTTGCACAAGAACACAAGCACCACTTTCCCCGTCACGGTTCGAACCCATGTTCCATGGCACGAGTCGAACACCGTAACCATTGGACCACAGCACCCCACGAGACATTTCTGAGACGCAAACAGGAGCATCCCACAATTTGCTCCATGGTCTCTAATTGTAAGGTTTTGCATTTACTTGCTAGTGGTCTCCTTGGCTCATGAATAGCCTGCCCATTTGACCGATCAAAGGGTTCCCATCCATTTTTTAAACATTAAAATCTGGAGGGTTTTTGTATTTACTGTTGAAAGAAAATTCCTGTTGATCCATATGGGGTCACCTTCTAAACAGTCTCTGAATAGCAATCTTGCATGCCGGCCACAAGAGGGCGGTATTTCTTCGGTACCATTCCCGGTTGTATAGCTTGAGTGTATGCCGGTTGTCTTGTAGGAATTCCCTGTAGAACTTGGCCATTTCATCTGCACTCAACACTCGCTTTGCCCCTAGGGTAAAATTATTTTCAAAAAGTTGGAAATACATTTGACAGTTCAACAGTGCAATGAGAAAGTTGAGATTAACATTAAAATTTGAAAACATGGGCACACAAATTATAATGAGCAGTACACGAAATAGACTTTGGTTTTGGAAAGTGAAATTAGATGTAAAAGTGTGAGATTAAACTTTAACATGAACCCATTTAGTGCACCTCATACACAAAATACCCCCAAAACTTTGGCTCTCTTATGCAAGCCAGATCAATAACTCATCAGTCACTGGACGGACCAAAAGCAAAAAGCAACTAAAAAAAAATACTTCTTACATTGCTAGAGATAAGATGCTTGAAATAATGGCATAAATGTTGCGGTGCCTTCTTTTTAATAACATAATCACTTTAAGATTTATCACACTTAATACAGGATTTGTAAATTAAAAAAATGAAATTACCATCTTCATCCAAGAGGCCAACTCCTTTAGTGCCGAGTGCTTCTTTAACAAAACGTTCTTTGGCCTGCCAGAGAAAACGTAATGAATGAACATTAAATCTAGACTACATGTACATACATACTGATGATTCACTTGACACATACCACTGAAACCTTGTCTGGGTATTTGTGATGCTTATCATCAATGTTCAATAGACCATTCTGGATTTCCTCATAAGCCCCGCCCACTTTTCAAGTGGGCAGCAACACATGCGTTTATACCACCTCCTCCCCCCCCCCCCCTCCACACACACACATACACACCCAAGTGTGCACAGTCGTGTTTTACTATACGCCTGAGGACAACCTATTGTGTTTCCCTTTGTCCCTGTACTTCAACACTTTCCCATAGACTAAGCATGTAAACGTACGATCGAGGACAGTTTCGAACAAAAGCACCGTCGTTAGAGGACTGAAAGGATCTTTTGTTCTCCCTTTGTGTGTCTGTCCTCGAGCGTAATACAAGACACGAACGCCATGCCAAGTGCATGCACATAAGACTTTTGTCAGAAATTTGCTTGTATAGTAATGGCTTTGATTGGTAGAAACATCATGGGGCAGGGGTTAAAGGTACAGTATATCTTTGTAGTTTGTGCATTTTTTTCGTTTGAAGCAACAAAGGTGCTCAAAAAACAAAAGAAGGGTGCTTAACAACTAATCTGATTAACTTTTAGCTCAGTGAATGCTGTATGTTGCGAGAAAATAATATGCTATGATCTCGATTTCAATTTAAAAGTTGCAGAGTCGTGTTTTGAATTGCGCCTGAAATCAGCATCCGGGAGACGTTCTCATTCAGCTGATTGCAGCTACCCGATGTAACGCACTGAACCAACAGAAAACTAGCAACTGCGCGCAGGTGCATCATGTCAACGCTTGGGCGCACCCATTCACGGCTTCGCCGAATTAAAAACTAACTGCTGACTGAAATTTCCCAAAATGCATCTTCAGACGCATCTTTGGAAAAGACCTTCTTTTATTGTTTTCTTCAAAATGACAGCATGCCAGAAAGAATAATTTCACAGGGAGTTTACCGTGTTTTTGTGTGAAAAAGTTCTGCCAGGTAAGTGCATTCTATGTGCTCTTTTGTTGGTGCAGTTTGTGTGCATAATTTCACCCTCTGAAATCAGTGCTTCTTCCACCTGGCTTAAAAAGAAACTAAGCAGTTTTTATAATCATCCTTGTTTGGACATTTCTCAGTGAACAAAAAATCTGAAGTGCACCATTTGTCACGGAAACTGTCCAGTTCAATTTGATACCTCACTTGGGAACACTGTGTAAGAAATAACGAGAGCGCAAGCGCTGAAGCTCCTAAAACCCTAAAACTGCAAGTTGCATTTAGCAAGATTTTCAATGGGCATTGCAACGCACAATTGGATGTGGATAACCCCATAAATGTGGCCAATTTACTGGACTACCTCCGTAAATAAAGGCCACACTTCCACCATGTACAAAAACATTTCGAACTTTGTCAAATTTTGATTTTCACATTTAGGCTTAGTTTGTAGGGTTTTTTTGCTTCAGAAGCATACTCACCCTCTTTATAGGCTAATCGGAAGGTGCTGCCTTTTTCAGATGTCTAATTTTCGTGAAATTTCATGTTGAAATTTTGATACGCAAACGTGTGCAAACGAATCTGGAAATTTCACAAAAAATAGACATCTGAAAAAGGAAGCACTTTCTGATTAGCCTATAAAGGGGGTGAGTATGCTTCTAAAGCAAAAATAAACTACAAACTAAGCCTAAATGTGAAAATCAAAATTTGACAAAGTTCGACATGTTTTTGTTCATGGTGGAAGTGTGGCCTTTATTTACGGAGGTAGTCCTGTAAATTGGCCACATTTATGGGGCTATAGGACTAGTGGGGCCCGCATCACTCGTTAATTTTGTTCTCACCTCAATGAAGTTCTGGTTGTGCTTAGCCCAGAAGGCGTGGTTCCACTCGTAAATCTCTTCCCTCATCTCTCTGTGTTTCCTTTCCCCGACCGTTTCGTCCTGTGGCTGAGCGAAGCGGATTTGCCGAAGATTGGACCGCTTGTCGACCGGACCAATCCAGTCTCGGTCCGGGTGGTGCGGTGGCTCTGTCCTGTATTCCTGAGCTTTGGACTCATCCTGGGCGTTTTCAGTGCTGGCTGTTGAATCTGAAGAAAATAGCTGGAAAATAAAATTGTAACACGTTAGTTATTACATGTTTGGCTTATGGTAATGTAATGTGGATACATGTACTCCGGGGGATCCAGGGGGTGTGGTCATGCGCATTCCGTCCCCCCCCCCCCCCCCCCCCTCAGATCCCGGCCACTGAGTGACGGTTCATGCATAGAACAACTTAAAGGGAATATACATCATTTGCTTTTGCTGTAATTTTCAGAAATGGATGGAATTGGGGGTTAGAAATATATAGCAAATATAGTTACACTGACTATGTTGAGGTTTTGGGTTCGAAAATGCTATAAAAACCAAGAAAAACAATCATTTTCCTGTAGTCTGGTTCCCTGACTACATATAAGAAGAAACAGAGCAGTTTACATATATTGGTGAATTGTAAGGTCAGGGAACCAGTCTAGCTGGCTTGTACCCGTTCATAGGTGTGTAATCGATTGCAAACAAGTGCGATGGTCAATTGGGGCCAGTATTTGAAAAAAAGCCAGTTTTTTTCCAATGCTGGTCGGCCGACCAGCGTTGGAAATTGATAAAAAAATACCACTTTTCTTGAAAATGTCAGTATACCAGGTGCCATGATTTTACAGGATGCTTTACACTATCATTCACTAACAGTCCAGCAAGGTATTTCAAAATGATTTGGTAGTTTTATTTTTTGATGTTTGCAAATGTTGTATTTTCCCTTTAAGGGGAAGTTTTTTAAAATAAATGTTTAGTGTCCTGTCTCCGCCCGCTTCCTTTTTGGAGGCCGCCTCTTTTTTTCTTTTTTTTTACCGAAAAAATGATAAATTTTCAACAGTGACATCATTTTGGCCTCTTTATCTGTTGCATCTAGCCCATCTAAAGCTGTTATGTCATTTCCTGAGTCCAATGGCAGCCATTTTAAAAAGGAGGGGGGAAAAAAGGGCCTCCCGCTTCCTTTTTTTCAAAAAGGCAGGCCGCTAATGACATTTGTTTTTATTATTTTGCCTAATGTGAACATACCCAAGAAATGTCATGACTAAGGGAATAACAGTGTGAGGAGCCGGTCTTCACTGCGTGATAATGACCGGGTGTGGGGGTGACCGCTGTTAATGGACCGAGACGAAGTCGAGGTCCATTAACAGCGGTCACCCCCACACCCGGTCATTATCACGCAGTGAAGACCGGATCCTCACACTGTTATTCCCATTAATAAATACCTTTATAACGAAATAAACAGTTAAAATGCTCCAATTTTGTTACTTTTTTCCGGCGATATTTCCAGACTTTTTTGTGTTCATGTTCATGGGCCATATTTTAGCTTAACAGCTATAACGACGTAAACTCAACAGAAACTGCTGCCGTAGCGAAACAAATTACAACAATGTTTTCATATCTTTACCTGATGGAGGAAGCTGAAATCTCGTTTACACATTCCTTGTGTCCGGAATTACAAAGATGCTTGGTTTAGGAAAGGTAAATATGTCGGTGGGTGAAGTGTTTCAAAGAAAATAAATCGTAGATCTACGCTTTCGTCGTAAACATCCTCAGTATAAACTGCACTGCTGTACGATGTCGTTTCAAAACTTCCTTACGCGCGCGCACGCACGCATCCCTAGCAACTGTGTTGCGTACGCGCGCGTCAGTCTCACGCGATGGGGGTTGAGCGCATGTGCAGTGCTCAATTGTTAAAAGCTACCGCAGGACTGTTACTATATTTTGACCAATCATTGGCTTGCATGGGGCTGAACGGGGCTTGATCAATGCTGGTTCAGGGGCCATTTATTCGCTTGATCTTTGAAGCCGGTCCATTATCACCGTTAATGACCGGCCACGTGATCGAGTCTCGACCAATCAGAAACCATCAACTCTCCAAGGTATTTATTAATATAGGTTAAAGGGTTTTGGAATTATCGGCTAATTATTTATTCATATGCACCAATGGTAATTCTGCTTTGTGTACACGACATATATATAGGTACATTCAGTTGTATTTTTCGCTGCGCGGTAACCATGGTCGGAATTTTTTCTTTTGGTATCAAAAGATGCGCAAGACTCGAGGCTAAAAAGTCAGGAAAGCTCGGGTCGGCAAAATATTTTTTACCAAGGGTATCACGAAAAGAAAAATTGGTGGGGGAGTGGATCCCCCCCCCCCCTGCCCTCAGCTTAGGGCTTCCTCCATATGGGCTAAGTGGTCAAATACTCCTGTTAATTACCCTATCAAAGTATCATCTCAATGAAGGTCAGTCATTGCCAAAATTTTAAATGACATATGATAAATCTCGGACTAAGAAACATTTCCAATTAGCCTGTTATTAAGAAATACTTTAATTTTGGCAGTGGATATTTTGCCGGAGACGGCAAACCTTTAGTAAACGTTAGTTTGCCGGATATGCACTGAACATGCGCAGTTACTGTTTTTTTTTACTTAAACATTTTCCGGTGACAAATTTTAGTCTGGCTCCATGCCAATATTATCGTTGTAACCTCGTATTCACAAGATGGGATTCAGACCATTTTATAATTTCGGACTTTATTTCCCTTTAAAAAAAATCCTCCAGAGCCACAAATCTGAAAAACAAAATGTCATACTTTGCAATAAAATGTTTGAGACATGTTAAAATAATAAAAGAATAATATTCTTATTTATTTGGGGATGGGGAAAAAAACCTTAAAAATGTGGCGGGGATCGGAATCGAACCCGAGTCATCCCGCTCACAAAAGCCTTTGCTTAACCACCATGACCACTACACCAAATGTGCTACACAACTTCTTCTTCCTTCTTAGTGCTGCCTTCATATGTTGAAGATAAACGCACTGCGGAAAGAAAGCAGAGCGGTTAGTTGGATTGCCGCCGGCAAACCTTTAGTAAACGTTAGTTTGCCGTCATTACCTCCGGCAAAATATCCACTAGCCACTAGGCACTATCTTTATTTTTAAAAATGTTCTTGACTTCTGGTGGGAACTTCTGGTGGGAATTTAATACATCTTATAATTCAGCCCTATCTTAAAGAGTACAGCGCCCTCTGTTGATATGGATTGCCGCCGGCAAACCTTTAGTAAACGTTAGTTTGCCGTCATTACCTCCGGCAAAATATCCACTATCTTTAATTTTTAAAAATGTTCTTGACTCTCCATAGAGTTTGTACACAACCGCTCTACTTTCTTTCCCTGCACGATTACCCTACTAATGTACAAGATATAGATGAAGCCTAACTAACGTCACTCTCACCTGACATTGGGCTACAAGACTACATTGATATCTAGGCTTCAGGTGGAAATGAAAAGCTATTATTTCTTTAAAAATACAAACAGAACTTCTCCCCTTCCGTACGTGCAGCATGGCGCACACGTATGCGCGCGCGACGTCAGCGTGTACGTGTGTACTGCATGCATGCACAAATGGTACATGGCAACCTCGTTCCCAGGGTGTCGAACAGTACGCGCCCGTCACTACCTGCTCTCTCACCCTGGTATTGGACATTTGCATATGTGCAAGATTTTTGCACACGTATGCAAATGACGAATAGTGTGGTGCCTTGGATATGCTTTACATTAGCGTTTGTTTTTTGTATGCGGTGTCTGGGGTAAAAACAGAGTCAATTCGTCGCAGCACGAGCACGGCGTGAGTTACGAAAACACGATTTTTTTAAATTAAACAGTAGTAAGGAAGGCGGGGGTACGGACCAAAATGGAAAAAATCTGCGGCGAGCCTGGGCACGCCGCTCTCGATTTTAAAAAATAGGGGAATGCCCCGATCTCAATTAAAAAAAAAAATAAAAAAAAAAAATAAAAATCTGACGTCGGGTTTGGGAGAAAAAAAAAAAAAAAAAAAAAAAAAATCTGACGTCGGGTTTGGGAGAAAAAAAAAAATTAAGAAAAATCGGACGTCGGGTTTGGGAGAAAAAAAAAAAAAAAAAATCTGACGTCGGGTTTGGGAGCCAAAAAAAAATTAAAAATCTGTCGTCGCTAAAATGAGGTGAGTCTGATTGCTTATAAATCCAAAGTCTGACCTCCAAAAAAAATGAGAAAAAAAATATTATATTTCCTATAATAAATGGAGAGTAATATGTTCAGACCGACCGTCAAAGGATATTCTAAATGGAACAAAGCCACGCTGCGTGATTACGTGCAGCGGTATAATATACCGCACAATGAAAATGTTTTTTTTACTCGTAAAGTCTACATCGAGGGGATAAAACATTATGAAAGTAAATTTAAAAACTTGAGGAAAAAGAAACTTTATGAGCTCAAACAGATTGTAGACGAACAAAATCTAGAATACGTACCGACGGGTTATAAAGGACGATTTTTGAAAAAAGATTTAATCTCGGCGATTAAAACATACAGACAACCCGAATACTTTACAGAGTCAGCTTTTAGAGAAACGAGAAGGTTTAGAAATTACTACAGAAACTGGGAATTAAACCCCAGACTTTATAACCACGATTTAATCAAGTTTTTTGATTCGCACAAGGAACAAATAGTCAATAAAATCAAGTCTGAATTGAGAGAGCTGAGAGGTTTAAAAATGGAGCTCACAATCAAAATAAAATACGAAAAAACCAAACCGGATGGTACGATCGAAACGATCGAAGCTATTCATTACAGCAAGCCGAAAGCCGTTTTAAATCAAAGTCAAATAAAACAGGTTTTAAGAGAAGAGATCGAAGAGCTATTCAAAAAGGATGAAAGGTATACGAATCAAGGATCGGGTTGGGTTTAAAAAAGATAATGGCGTTATACATCAACATCAACAGATATAATCCAGCGAGAGGTAGTTCTTACATAAACCTACCCGAACATCTTAAAATTAAACAGGCGATGATAAACATCAAAAACAAAGACGACGAGTGTTTGAGATGGTGTTTGAGAGCTGCTCTTGGGTTGTATACAGATAAAGTAAAAAATCAAATAAGAAATAATCCTAAATATAAAATTCATAAAGAAGAACCTGTTGTATACACCAAAGACGACGGACTCAGTTTTAAAGGCGTTGACTTTCCGACACCGGTCGATCAGATACCCAAGATAGAAAGACAAAATAATTTATCGATAAACGTATATGGTTATGAGGGTGAGATATATCCATTATACGTGTCTAAAAACTACGGGGCAAAAGAGATCGATCTGCTTTTGATTTCTAAAGGTGACAAGCATCACTATTGTTGGATAAAATATTTTACGAGGTTGATGTATGACGTTACGAAACATAAATGTAAGAAATATTTTTGTCGAAGATGTCTATGTCATTTTACCAATCAAAACAAATTAGACAGACATATCGCCGATTGTAAGGGTATAGATGCACATCCATCAAAGATTGTATTTCCTATGGGTAAACCAAAATACATAGACGGGCAACCAGGCGAAAGAGACGTACCGATATTAGAATTTAAAAACTATAGGCACAAACAAAAAGCACCATTTGTCATTTATGCTGACTTTGAATCCATACTACAAACAACAACAACACCCAAACAGACACTGACATCTAAACCTACTCACTCAGACAAAGAGACAAACACAAAAAAGATTAACGTTCACAAAGCTAGCGGTTATTCGCTAGTTGTCGTCCGATGCGACGGTAAAAATGTGTATCAAGAGACTTATAGAGGCAAAGACGCTTCAACTAGATTTATAACAACGCTGTTACAATTACAAAGCGATATTAATTGCATATTTGAAAAACCCCAAACCATGAAATTTAACGAGCGAGCTAAAGACCATCACGATACAACAAACACGTGTTGGATTTGCGAGAAACCAATTTATCCCAATTACTCGAGAAACTGTCAGTGCCAGAAACCCAGGAACCCAAGACGATAAAACAAATAAAAGAATATCAGTGCAAAAACAAAAAAGGATTTACCGAGTCTAAATGTCTCGACTGTAAAAAGAGAATCAACACATTTAGAAAGGTGAGAGATCACTGCCACGTCACTGGTAAATATAGGGGTGCTGCACACGCTTATTGTAACCTCAAACTACAAATTAAACCCGGTTGTACACCGATACCAGTCTTTTTTTCACAATTTACAAAATTACGACGCGCATTTAATCATGCAGGGAATGACAGAATACGATAGCCAAACAGAATACAAGTGATCGCTAAAAATTCAGAAAAGTATATTTCGTTTTCGATAGGAAATCTACGATTTTTAGACTCGTTAAGTTTTATGGCATCATCGTTGGATAAATTAGTGAAAGCTTGCCCAAAAGAGTCGTTTCAGCTACTCAAAAACCATTTTAAACATCCTGACTTACTATTACATAAAGGAATTTATCCCTACGAATATATGAACTCGTTTGACAAGTTTCAAGAGACCAGCCTACCACCCATCGGCAAGTTTTACAGCAGACTAAAAGACGAACATATATCGCAACAAGACTACGACAGAGCTCAACGCGTGTGGAACGAGTTTAATATACAAAATCTAGGAGAATATCACGACTTGTACGTGACTACCGATACGTTATTACTTGCAGGCGTATTTGAAAACTTTAGAAGAACGTGTATTACAAACTACGGGCTAGATCCAGCCAATTATTTTACCGCACCCGGATTGTCGTGGGATGCTCTATTAAAACACTCGGAAGTTAAACTCGAACTATTGCAAGACGTAGACAAACATTTATTTTTTGAAAAGCAAAACGAGGAGGCATATCGAGCGTGGGTGGAATGAGACATCACAAAGCAAATAATCAATATCTCGATGACTACGATTCAAACAAACCCTCGAGTTATATCGCTTATCTGGATGCCAACAATCTGTACGGTTGGGCTATGAGTCAATATCTACCGTACAGCGATTTTAAATGGACACCCTCGAAACCGTTTACCGAAGAAAGAATATTAACGCTGAAGAAAACGTCCAACACCGGTTATTTTTTGAAGTAGACCTCGATTACCCGCACGATCTACACACCAAGCATAACGATTATCCCCTAGCGCCCGAAAATATGGTCGTACCCCAAGCTTGGATGTCTGATTATCAAAATGACTTATTGGATACCGAACCTAGTAGCGACGTACAAAAATTAACGTGTACGCTTAATCCAAAACAAAAATACGTGTTGCACTACGTTACGTTGCAGATGTATCTCAAACTCGGCTTGAAATTAAAAAGGTACATCGCGTGTTAAAATTTAAACAAGCGCCTTGGATGAAATCTTACATCGATAAAAACACGCAACTCCGAACAAAAGCGTCTTCTGATTTTGAGAAAGACTTTTTTAAACTGATGAATAACAGCGTGTTTGGTAAGACGATGGAAAACGTTAGAAATCGAATAGACGGTTACCTACTGAGAGACAATAACGAGAGCGATCAAGAAAAATACAAAAAAATAATTCAAAAACCGAGCTATAAAACAACAACGCCGTTTCCAGAATGTGACCTGTCGTTTGTCGAAACATATAAAACGACAACCGTGTTAAACAAACCCATTTACTGCGGAGTGAGCATCTTAGATCTCTCAAAGACGCTGATGTACGATTTTTATTACAACCGATTGAAAGACAAGTACGGAGATCAAATCAGGTTGATGTATACGGATACGGACAGTCTGTTGATTGTCGTTTACACGGATGACATATACAAAGACATGCAATCTCACGTGCGACACTACGACTTTTCGAATTACAATCTGGATCACGAGTTATACGATCCAACCAATAAGAAAGTGATCGGTAAATTTAAAGACGAGTTTGGAGGTAAGGTCATTCAAGAAGCCGTTTGCGTAAGACCTAAGATGTACTCGATTTTAGCGGATGACAACAACATCACTCTTAAAAAAGCCAAGGGGGTCACAAAATCGGTCACTGACAAAAAATTAAAACACCAACACTACTACGACTGCATCTTTAAAAATAAATCTAAAACAGAAACGATGACTCAAATTCGATCTGAAAAACACATCCTTTACACCATATCGCTAGATAAATTGTCGTTGAGTCCGTTGGACACAAAGAGGTACATTTTACCGGACGGTATATACACGCTCGCTTATGGTCACCGCAATCTAGATATTAATTAGGCGGTAATTGCGTGTCCTCGGGTACGACTTGAAGCTCTTGTCTCACAAAACTCCTTTTTTGGCCGTTTTGAAGGTAATAAAGAGTAGGACCCGTCGTGACTTTTTTACCGTTAATCATTTTAAATTGACTCGTTCTTTTTTCCACGTTATAAATGTCTACGCTCCAAATGGGATCCGTGGCTCTTCTCGAGGTTCCACCCTCTTGCTCACCCGGGTAATATAAATATCTAACCATTGCGTCTTGCGGTAATTGTTGCTCTTTTGTTTTAACGGGGTTAGCCGGCGATTGCCGGACCTGTTCTAGTTTAACCGCCTCTGACGGTGCTTTAGCTATTAATCTCGTCGTTTCATCGTTTATAGCTTTGATCACGCTG